TTCAGAGACAGGTCTATGGTCAAAACAAAGGGGAAAGAAGATGGGTTCTGAACCCAAAGTATTTCTTCTACTATAGAGAGTGCATAGTTCTCCTTGAAACTCAAATTCAGCTCTCATGAGAATATGACAAGCATCTCAGGAGCTGAAGTGATATATAAAGTTTTTGGGACTATTTCTGCCTAGTCTCAAAGTATAGACTTTTTGATCAAAGAGTGTACAGCAGGGACTTACTATTGTGCACTAACACACACTTGTTAGTCATTCTCCTTGGCACACCACTCCACATTTTGAGCCTTCCACAGTGAAGTGAGCCTGCAAAACTGAATTCTAGCCTGTGGAATATGGATGGACGTGATTTGCATGACTTCCAGACTGAACATGAAACCCTTGCAATCCATGATGGGCCCGCTCTTTGCCTGACTGCACACCAGATGCAGCTCATCCAGTAGAGAATGCCATGGCCCCACTAAATACCAGAGGTGCTAGACAGAAGCAGCCTGGATCCCTGAATGACCACATGGAACAGAGTCCTTTTAAGCCCCTCTGTGCTACCAAGCTGTGTTTGTCTGTAATGTGAGAGTACAATAAAACTCTATTGTACTCAGATCTGAAGGTTGTTTATTTCAGCAATTAACTTCCTGATTCATACAAGGTGCAACCACAGCACATAAAATGCACCTACTATTTCATTAACAGACAAATCTTTAAGACATAGCAACATTTCTATCAGGAACAAAATGGGAAGAGAGATCTAGGAGTGCACCAAGATAGGTCAAGAGCTATGATTGGAAATGAATCTGGAAATAAACTGTCATGCTGTGCAATAGTGAAGCAAAGTGTCACACAATTTTATTTATTCGTTAAAGCACTTACTGAAGGCCAATACATGCCAGGTACCATGTCTGGTGCTGGGGTTAAAAATATGACTGGCCACATTCCCTGAGCTCAAAGAACCACAGTCTAGCTGGCTGGAAAGAGAGGAAATGCAATCAGTCCTTCGACACAATGTGGTAAGTATTATAAAAGACACCCCGAGGAAGCATCCACTATCTCCTCTCAGATGTAGATTTTGTGTAATACACAACATAGGTATCCATAACAAAGATCACGAAATAGGTTCATTTCTGGATTAAAAGTAACAGAACTTTTGAATCTTCTCAAGACTGTGCTAAACGTGACAAATGGCAACTGTGAGCCTACAAGTGATACTAACATCAGCTAAGGCAGCAGATGATTATCAGCACCTCTGCATCGAATTCACTAAGCACTGCATGGAAGAATGCAGACAACAGAACTGAGAACACCCCCAAAAACACGCTCCCCTCAGTAGTGAGCCTTAAAGTATCTGCATCACCTGGAAATCACACGGACTTTGAGATATCTCCTCCTTTGTAAGGATACTGTGCCATCAGAGACTGAATCTGGAATCTGTGCCTTTTAATGAAATGGAAGCAGAATTAAAACACTGTTACCTCTTTAAATTAAAATGCAGAATTTCAGAAGAAACATAGGGTTTTCTCCATCCCATCTTAAATAATCTTGATGCTTATCATGATGCTTGTAAGGATGCAAAGCAGCATTAGGAAATTCTCTAAAAAGCGTAGGGTCCTGAGTTTAAATTGCAAAATAGCTCATTTGCGAACTAAAAACCTAAGAAGAATTTTTTTCACCTACATGAGAATCATTATAGGACCAACTTCCACTCTTATCAATGAAAGTTCCATAATGGACATTAGCTTCCAGAAAAAAAAAAAATGCAGCATTATTCAATAAAGATATTATACCTAAAACTGTAAGGAATGGTAATCAAAATAATGAGGCTTCTAAAAAATCCAAATAAAAATAAACTGTTGCAAATGGCAATAAATTTGAAGACTGGAAATACTGCTGCTATTTCTACAAATTCAAAATGACGTGACCAATTAAAGCATTTCCATGCCCAAATCTTTCCTCCGTTTTCAGTTTATTGCATAATAATAACAAAACTATCAATTACTAAGCACGAGGACAAATCTTTCACTCATATTGTAAGAGCTAATATTTAATTCTCATAAAAACTCTGCAAGTATTTTCATTTCCATTTTACAGATGTGGAAACTTAGACATAATAAAGTGAATGAAACAGAACCACTTTATTACTCTATTTCCTATGGTTAAAGGGGCAATAAAAAAAGATGAGGGCATTAGAACTCAGGTCTTGTCTGCCTCTAAAATCAGTTGTTTATGCTCAACAGGCTGTTGCAAATAGAACCTAAAAAATGGTGGATAATGATTATGAAATCTGTCTAAGCAGAATCCAAATTCAGTCTGCTTGTCCCTCTGGCCCATGTCTTTTCTGTCCTGAATCACGTAGTTAACTACGTCTGCTCCCCACTTCCTTTTACAATTAGGTCTGGCCTTAGAGCAAGAATTTAGTGAGATCTTAAATCCAAGGGACAGCTCCTTCTCTAGTGTACAAACATTCCAAAGAGCAGAAAGCCAGCTGTCTCTTTCTTGGCAACTTCCCACTGAATCTAAATATATAATGCAGTGTTTTCTGTGTTTTAATTTTCTTTAGGATTACCGTTCATTATAGTTTAATTTCTGCCTGTTCTAATTATTGCCTTTTCTGACCTTCCAAATGACCTTGTAATCCAACACCATTCAATAGGTTTGAACATCTCCCACCTTAGGAATAAGCTTGGGTCGATTCTTTTTCAGCATCATAAACGTTAGCTCATATCACATACTCTTTAAAAGAACAAAAGCATAAGAAGGAAATGGGGCCTTTCATCAAACATCCCACTTTTTTGCCTGGTATTAATCCCCATTCCAAAGCAAAACATTTTGGGATCCTTAGGAATAATTACCACCACTTTGTTTTCGATGTGTGATCTGGAAGGATTTAAAATTGCACCTGCCAAGTGCAGCCCAATAACATACGCTCAGCTTTCTCCTGCCCCAGGTGAGGGCACAAGGATTTCTCCAACTCTCCTAAACCAGGCTAAACTGTTTTTCCCATGTCTCTCAATTACATGTTAATAAAATTCCTAAAGACCCAAAAGGAAAGCCAATCATCCCTTGCTGTACCCATCTCCGTTGAGAAAGCTCGACTTCACATTTTTATTTAACAGCACCTTTCTTCTGAGTCATGCAAAGGGTTTTTCCATCATGTGTTCGTTGATCCTCCCAACTTAAAATAAGCATCAGATACTATCATTCCCATTAGAGATGTAGGAGAAAAGAGGCATAGTGATTGAGATACAATGTTCAGCTGAAAGAGGTCACTTCAAAAGTTGAAAGAGCCTTATGAATTTATCACATAATCCATATACCACAGGAAGTTGTTTCTTGTTTCTTACCCACATGTCCTGCTACAATGCAAAGCTAACTTCCTTTGCTTTTAACTAGGATCAAGTCCTCAATTCCTTACACACAAAAAACTAAGTTGTTCAAAACTATTCGGTTACTAGGATCTTACTTCTCTGTATTCTGACTTTAAGAGTCAAAGGTAAATGATCTCAAACAAGCATCCTCACAAGCTGCCAGAAAATGATATTTCCAGATAGTGTCCTAAGGACAACAGGAACCCAGGGCCATCTCTTGGATCATCTGTATCCACTAAAATGACCTGTGCTAGTCAATCAATGTCTACAGTCTAGTCTCTGGTCTGTTTAATGAACAAGAGGTGGTTAAGTTTTGGAGTCAAAGTTAGTTACCTTATGGTTCACCATCTAACTTTCAGAAACACAGTCAATAAAAACAACAAAAGTTAAGGCTTAACTTGTATTTAAATATAGTTAAATATAGGCCGGGCGTGGTAGCTCACTGCCTGTAATCCCAGCACTTTGGGAGGCCAAGGCAGGCAGATCACCTGAGGTCTGGAGTTCAAGACCAGCCTTGCCAACACAGTGAAACCCCATCTCTACTATAAGCACAAAAATTAGCCAGGCATGGTGATGGATGCCTGTAATCCCAGCTACTTGGAAGGCTGAGGCAGGAGAATCACTTGAACCTGGGAGGCAGAGTGTAGAGTGAGCCGAGATCGCGTGACTGCACTCCAGCCTGGGCGACAAGAGCAAGACTCTGTCTCATAATAAAATAAAATAAATTATATAAATAAATAAAATTAAATATAATAATTGGTTTACCAGAACACCCCACAATGCAGACAGTTTAGGTTAACTGAGATTTTTCGTGTTCGTGTGAGAACTAATGTAGCGTTTCTCTCTATATTTGTATGAGAACTAATGCAGCATGCAAGGCTAAAGGCATACATATTTATACGGGTTTGCACTCTCTCACACCTGCCAACCTGAGAGCATGTCTGAGACTATCCCAGGCTTGTATCGCAGTTGGAGCGTGAGCACACCATTGCCCAATTTACATGCCACACAGACACCTTTGCTCAACATTGTCATTCAATTCTAAATCAATGCAATAAAACTGCCTAAGTTACTTTTTTAACTGGCATTGCTTCAACATACAGAGATACAAGAAATCATAATTATTTCCCTTTTGTTCTCCAAAAGCAGACACCTACAAATCCTAGTGCCATAATCATCCCTGGCTAAACAGTCAGACATAAAAGGCCACAAGATCCCATAGTGACAATTAGAGTGAAATCCAATCCACGTAAGGGCCAAGTTGACCACAGGACTAGATGAAGCACTCTCAATATTTAAACAAACAATTACCCTAAAATGTAGGGTCATTTCCTTACTAAAAAATACTTTTGAGTTACTCTTCAAAACTTTCAGGATAAAATTAGTATTTGCAGCTCATTGAACACGACGCAGTCTCATTCTTCATTCCTGTACACGCAGTTTCCCTAATGTGAAGTTTTTTGCCACCCACCATTCACCAGCGCCAACTCCTCACTTGTGTCTATCCTTATTCATTCTTAAAAACACATCTCAGGACACTTTCTTCTGTAAGCCATCTGGGACCATCACCAAACCCCAGCTAGGGTTAGGTGCCTTACTCTTTACTCCACAAATTCCCACTCTTAACACACTTACCAGGCCATGTTCTGTGTTCTGCATTGATAGTTGTGCTTAGATCTTGTATCCTCAGCTCCTAATATAGTGCCAAGCACAGAAAAGGTACCTTCAGAGAATGGAGGAACAAGTAAAGTAAGCATATTCTGAAGGAGAAAAGGCATCAACCCTTAATAACATCATGTATCACATGAATAAACCACATGTAAATTGTCTGGAAAAATGCAAAGCCTTCTTATATCCCAGCACATAAAGGAACATCTGAATGAGAGATTCTACTTGGGGATGAGAAGAAAGACTGGTTCCCAGTGGTAAGAAATTTGGAACTTCAAAATTTGGTCCTAATACTCGCTATGCAGACCCCAAAATGTCATTTAAGAACACACTAGCTTCGTACCGACAAAAAGAAACCAAAATTTTTTGACATTTGCTCTATAGCACAAGGGCTCCAGATATAACATATAATCAATGCTCCCAAAATCCTGGGGTAGAGGATTCAAGTGCTGGACTTTGAAGTCAGTAAAAAGAAAACCAAACCAACGAACTTGGACTCCAATCCCAGCTCTGTTCTTTACTGATTGTGTGCAATTAAATAATTCATTTATCCTCTCTGAGAGCCAGTTTCCTCATCAGTGAAATGAGAATAATGACAAGTATTTCTAGGGATTGTTGCTAAAAAAAATACGTGAAATAACAAACATGAAAGATGGCCGGACACACAAGAGCCCTTCACAAATGTTCGTTCTCATCTCTTCCCTCTATTTGGGGATGTGGGTGTCACCTACATATGAACAGGGATGAAGAGATGATTGGCAGGCCCCTGCTTGAGCCCTGAACAGCTAAATGAGGACAAGGAAGGTGAGAGGCAGCCCTTATAGGCTGTATGAGCAAGGAGCCAATCATGTTTCCTCCAAAGTCTATATGTTGTTTCTGCACATGTAAACTGGATTTTCAAATAATCTTTTCAGGAGCTCACTATGAAAATCTGTGTTTTCAAGAAGCTGTGGCCCTCGTGTTGCTGGTAGTTAGCAGGATTAAGTTGAGTCAAGGAACACACAAAGGACTTCAGAGGTTTTTCAAATATTCCAATTCTTGAGCCAGGAGTAGCTACATGACTACCCATTTTATTATTTTTGTTTTTTATTTGTTTGTTTGTTTTGAGACAGGATCTCACTCTGTCACCCATGGTGAAGTACAGTAGTGTGATCTCAGCTCACTGCAACCTCTGCCTCCTGAGTTCAAGCAATTCTCCCACCTCAGCTTCCCAAGTAGCTGGGATGACAGGTGCACGCCACCACACCTGGCTAATATTTGTATGTTTGGTAGAGACGAGGTTTCACCAAGCTGTTGGCCAGGCTGGTCTCAAACACCACACCCAGTCCCATTTTATTATTCTTTAAACTGAACATATGTTTCTATCAACTGTCTTGTATATGTAATATAGTTCACAATTTAAAAATGGGGTATAGTCTTAATATCAGGAGGCTGGAATCACGGATCCTAGATGTGGAAATCCTGGCAGCATTTAACAAAGGATAACATTTATTTTTTTGCCTCCTGAACTGATGGGTTTTTTTGAATTGTTAATAGCTACATTTGTGGAACCCGTACAAGTGCCAGAAAGCTCACCACCCCAAGATCCCCAGAAGCTGACTGACTCCAAAGCATTTGGTAGTGAGACATGCAAAGGTCCCCTAAAAAATAACCAGGAGTACAAGGTGCATCCTGAGAACAGGATGATGCTAACAATATCTGAAGGATTTACAGTTTAATATGTAGGAGTTCTTGAAAGTCTTGAAAGTCTACTTCTGAATGGCTGGGAATTTCGGCAATGCCTGTAGATTTGAGTTTCAAAGCGTCATATGTCGAAAACGAAAGGCAACCTAGACTAGAGGTCAGAATGCCTCAGTGATAGCCCCGAGTGTTTCACAGACAGCATTAGCAGAGTTGTAGGGTAACTTTAAAAGTATTCCGGCAGCACAGACTTAAGATGAGATGCTACCTTGTCTGACATCCTCATATCCTCATTGGCTAGAACAGCAAAACACAGGCTATTATATGAGGGCAGGATGGAAAGTGTCAAACTCACACTGCTCCCCTCTTCTTGTGCCTTCTCTTAGGACAAGATTCCCCTACCCAACCCCCTACCTCCTAGTTTTTGGTGTATGTATGACAAGTACAAAATAATTTAACTAAATATTTAACTTCTAAAGATATAATTGTAACAGTCACAGTAATAATCGATGGAGTAATCTGCAAAAGTAAAACAGCACTGATGAGCTTCATAATTGTTTATTATCATTGTGCCAGGCTTTGCTATTTACATATCACAGCCATTGACATTTTTACTGAGAAATCACACACACACACACACACACACACACACACACACACACACACGGTGTCAGGAGACAAACGGGTAATAGAGTAGGAAGCAGATGGAAAGATGGCTTCATAGCAGACTGAGCACATGTTTCATGCATAAGTGAGGTAAGGGGGACCCAAAAGAGAAAAGAATTCAACAAACTTACACAGAAGTCTGCAATCAGACAACCTAACAAACACCGAATTATTTTCAGGTTATCTGTATGTCTCATGCTTTAGAGCAGGGGTGTCCAATCTTTAGGATTCCCTGGACCACACTGGAAGAAGAATCATCCTGGGCCACACATAAAATACGTTAACACTAACAAAAGGTACATGGATAAATGTCATAATGTTTTAAGAAAGTTGACGGATTTGTGCTGGGCCACATTCAAAGCTGTCCTGGGTCGCATGTGGCCCAAGGGCCATGGGTTGGACAAGCTTTAGAGTTGAGTGTTGCTCCTGTTGATTTTTAAATTTCTTTCATTTAGGGGGAAGCATCATCCTTTTTATAGAATTTAGAGCCTTTAATGGTTTTAATCTAACCCTGGAAGCAGAAATAATGGGATAGAGGTTAGAAGCAATGTAAATAATTTTAAACATCTGTCCTGCCTCTTGCTAAATATTTCACACCTTTCAACCAATAACATAAAGCTGAGGATCAGAACCCAATATGCTAATCAGTTTACTCCAAATAACACAGTGGTGTGGTTTATTTCATTATACCCATGACACTAGTCCTTTCTTTCTATAAATACCAAAAAATATTATTTTCTCCCTTAAGTAAATCAAGTAAATAATGGCTTACCCTTCACAGTACTCAGTTATTTAATGTATCAAATGCCTTATCTGGCAAAACCTGAATGTGAAATAGTTATGGAAGTGTTTACAATAAAGGCACAGAGGTGGACGAGAACAAGTTTTGGAGAAAATGAGGGGAAAAAATGGTTAACTGCCAGCAGACACGCACTCATGCTGGAGGACACAAAAAGGTTCACAGCAGTTGTTAAATTCATTTAGAGAAACTCACTTTATTTCTCCAACAGAGCTCTCACCAGCTAATCTGTATTACAACCTGCAGGATTCTTAATATTCTCAGCAGGATCAAGATTCGGGCCACACTGATTCAGCTATTTAATCTTGCAAGAGAACAATATTTGGCAGGAAAAGACCCCACAGTACTGAGGGGATGTCCCAGTGGTTTGTCGTTAACACAGACTGGGCCAAGAACGCCAAAGGTGGAAACCAAACAGCACTAAAACCAACGTTTCTCTTTTCCTTTCACTAGCTCTGTCTTCAAACACATATGCGCACTGGATGCATACGTGGCAGACACATACGTCACATGTGCATAGACCGCTATTTCAGATGCATGTATGTTTATAAAAGGTAAAATATTTCCTGAATATCTTGGGCCCTGTCATGAAAAATTTAAAATCCAAAAGTATCCATTTGACTTCTTCTCTTCCTATTTGAATACCCTTTATTTCTTTGTCCTGCCTGATTGCCCTGGCCAGAACTTCCATTCTCAGCAAACTAACCCAGGAACAGAAAACCAAACACTGCATGTTCTCATTCATAAGTGAGAGCTGAACAGCAAGAACACATGGACACAGGGAGGGGAACATCACACACCGGGGCCTGTTGGGGGATAGGGGGAAAGCTGAGGGAGAGCATTAGGGCAAATACCTAATGTACGCGGGGCTTAAAACCTAGATGGCAGGTTGATAGGTGCAGCTAACCACCATGACACATGCATACCTATGTAACAAACCTGCACATTCTGCACAGGTATCCCAGAACTTAAAGTTTAAAAAAAAAAATCAAAAGTATCACTATACAGGTTGGAGGCAGGAAAAGAGATGAAGGAACCATGGCCAAAGTTTCACTTTCGAACCCTTTCATCTTCTCAAGTATTGAAAATCAAAATAGTAAAAACATATTTATGAATTTTTAATGTATGCAAATGTTTAAGATATTGACTTTTTTAACCATCTTGAAATTAATAAGCTGAACAACACTCTTCTATACTTGAACATTTGTGATGTTTTATATAGAATACTGTGGTTTGATTTCCTTTTGTGTTTTGTTTTCTTCTGTTGAGGACACCTTTATTTCTTTATTTAAATGCCTGTTAAGCGATTTAGACAGTTTGACTTAGTTTTTTGTGGTATTTTCTGGAATACTGATAGGCAAATAGGGAATAAAGAAAACAGACATACAGAAGCAGACAAAACTTAAAAATAAGATGTATAGCTTCTATTATTAAAGATTATAAATCACTATTGAAATCAATGATTCAGTAAAGTTTTTAACAACTAATAAAATAGTATGACTCATGTTCAATTCCTTTCCTTCCTAAACCTGAGTTTGTTATCCTTCTGATATTAACACAGCATTTCCCTCTATCTGGCATTTCTCCCATTTAGATCATTAGATGTATTATCTCATATATGGAGCTTGTTGCTCTAACATCGTCTGCTCGCCTGTCAAGCTAACTACAAACTGCAGGGCCTCAGGGGTCACCTATGCTTTATTCCTCATTAATCCTACCTCCTAACAATGTGCCTGGCACATAGTAAACACTTCAAAACATGTTTGTTAAGTCAATAATTAAGTTCTCAAAAGTGGTATCTTCTAGAAATGTTTATTTTGGATTTATAGATGCCCAAAGTATGTACATTTGAAAATACGATAAATATTCCTTCAACAATGCTGCTTCAACCTATATTTCAGGAATGGGAT